AAAAAAAAAAAAAAAAAAAAAAAAAAAAAAAAAAACGTTTGCTTCGACCAATTTGACTTACCTTCAATATCAATCTGAAGGACTCCCAATGTTTCCGCCAAATATGAGCTTGAAAGCTTCATTTTAGGTACAAAAAGCAACGTTTTTACACCCCTAGCAAGCAATCTTCGCGATCATGATATACTCACATATAATTCACTTGACCGTTTACTAAGATATCAACTTGAACGATGGATTAAAATAAAGAAACGATATTCCAAAAAAACAAGAGATTTGATATAATTAAGACGCTTTGCTATTCTTCAATTTTTAAATATACTTTCCTTGTAAATTGTCTATTTATTGCCCACTATAAATGCTTAACGATCTGCCCAAGTGGAGAGTGGCAGAAATGTGGAATCAACGCCAAATTATTTTCTAGTTAAATGCCTTCCTAAGCATTCGTTCTTGTAATAAACAGCTGAAAATGCAACATTATACGCGTAACGGTATTATAATATACGCATATGCATGCATGTATACGATGACGTTTGCTTGCCTGAATCGAACAAAACAGTGGCAAAGAGACATAGTCAGCTGTTAAATTAAATAATATAAAGGGGTCTGCATTCATTTTGAGAATTTTTTTCATTTGAAAAAAGCACTTCTTTTCAGCCGTTTCCTCTAAATAACTGAAAGCGAAATTTTATTGATTTTAGTGATTATTCTCCTGAATTTAGGTTATGCCTTGTGTACCACGCTTTAAGTCCAGCAGCGTATTTTTTAAAGTTCGCGACTCATAATGTAAACATTGTGCGTTTTCCGCTTACGACTGTTAATGTGACATTGCTTGCTGCTCTTCACTATAGAAAATAAGCAAACAATTGAAATGCAAAAAGAAAAAAACATAAATTATGTTTACATTGTTGGATTGTGAATTTCCAATAGCCTAGACTTTATTTACACAATCAAAAGAAACGTGGGTAACCACGTAAATACAGAATGAACGGTAAACCGTAACGAATTGCGGTCTTTCTACTATTAATCCGAATGAATTCGTACCTACTGGCATGTGTTCGCAAAACGATAAAGCCGCTTTACTATCCTTCTCGCAATGAATGAGAAGCCAGTTCTCAATGGCAATAGCTTCTAATATCGTATTATTTACAAGACATTTCGAAAAGTCCGCTTTAGGACCAACAGGGACTATTTTTCGGTCGAAATAAACTTTTTCTTCATCAAGTTGCCGGCCACTGATTTCCTCATAATTCTGTACAAGAGATAATCCCCACACACTTAAAATTTTCCGCGATTCGGGACTGTTATCTATATTCGTATAAAATTTTTTCAATGCATTTATACGCTGAACAGGTGAGAGGCAAGTGAAAGTCGCAATTTCACGCATTAGTTTGTGATTAGCCCTTATTTCATCACGTAACCCGGTTACGTAACACAGCTCAGGAATTAAACAGATAACGAGATCTTCTGCTTGCGATCTCTGCGACATACGTTGTTTTTTGATGCATATCAAGAGTGGTTGATTTGTGTCTTTTATTTCAATATTGTAATTCCTTCGATAATAGTCCAAGAAACTCAGTGTCCCTTCTTTGAATGTGAACGTCGATCGCGGACTTTTTTCAAAACAAATATCGTCAATTCGGTAGGTTTTATTGTTGTATCTCGTTATAACGGTAGCACCTAAGAGTGCCTTCTTAGCCGTTTCTTGAAAGTGCTTGGGGTTACGTCTGAAAATTTCAAGGAGCGTTTCCGAAATAGTTTTTTGGCATAGTAATCTATGAGACACATCGCAGCAAAGTAACAGACCTCCTTCATGTTCATCTACGGCGGTCACATATCCGGGCCATATTTCCAACTGATGCTGTGGGAGCACTATTGACGATGTTGGATCAAATTGCTTCCGATCAAACCGTACATAATTTAGAGTTTTCATGATTCGATCAAAAAGGACGTTATAAAACTGCATACAGTGTTTTAGCAATTCTTTTCTTTTAAAAAGTATCCGAATCTCAATATCAGATCCATCGTACGCTTTTGAGACATACGTGGTAAGTTCATCTTTCAACAAAATTGGTAAATATAAAGTGACACCATCAAAAGTTTTAGTTCCGCCAAACTTGACGCTGTGCTCATTTAAATATTGTCTCCTTAAACGGTTCGAGTCGATATTGGGGATAAAGCGCACTTCATAAACATAAATGCCCTTATTTGGATCCGAGTTTATACGTATGTGATTGCATACCAATTGAATCGGAGTACCTTTTACGCCATGAGTTGCTTTAGGAGATGTAAGCAAACTCGAAGTTTCCTTAGGCTCTTTCATGATTAAGTCCTTAGGGTGCACTTCTTTCGATTTTTCATCGTCTTGAGCTTTGGTTGATAATGAGTCATCTCCGGAAGCATTCGTTCCTAAGGCAGGCAACTTATGAGATCCGGATGGTAAAATTTTTCCTCGACGACCAAAGCCAACTCGACATGTTTTAGCAGTTGAACCAAAACTCTGTGTGCCTACGCCAATATCCAGAGATTTTGGAGCCAGTGCCGGCTGTGATAAGTCACGACGTAGACCGCGCCCATAACCCAACATTTTTTCGAGATTATAATGGGAAAGATAAGAAGGTAATAATAAGGCGATAGTATATAATCTTCCTTCAAATTTTTTTTGCGTTCCGTAAAAACTGAAAATAATTCAAAATAATTAACTTTGTTTATATTAATTACAGAAATTTTTTGGATCCGCGGTTTCTTCTTCCTTTTTCAACGTTCGCGAGTCAATAACATGAGATTATTATATACGTTGTAAAAAAAGGGCTCTATGTGGGTACGAAGTTTGAAGACGATTGTTGGTTGGATGTTGGAGAGATAATCATTTTTTTTGAAAAATTGAACTTTAGATTTCGCTTTCAGCCGTTTTCAGCCAACAGCTGAATACAACAGCGATAGCAACTTTTTTCATTGCGTATTGAAAAAAGGAAAAGTTGTTATATAAGCCGTAAAGTTAAGGAAACGAACTGGGAAGACAATTACAGGCGGACAATCTGCGAATGATGATGGATTGGCGAATGAATTAACCAAAATTTGAACCGACAAAAAGTAGAAGATTAGGAGCATATATGCAGGAAGGATTAGTAAATGGATTGATTTTGTGTAACTGATCACTTCATCCAGTGTAGTTGAACGTTAACAACGTTAAAATGTCTTCAAACGAAACATCGCACTGCGTGACATGAGGCAAAATTTTTCTCAGAGGGGCGTTCAATGGGAAATCCACGGTTTACGCAGCCGGTACTGTGCGCGCCACATTCTTAGTTGACAATTTACACTATTTAAGTTTGCATTTCAACTTTTACGTTCTTACACTATTGTCATTCGGAACCATTTGGAGTAAATATTATACATCCGGAACCAGAAATCGTGCTGTAAAAAATCGGGACAAGTTCTAAAAATATGAGACATATTGTCACCTAAGTTGTATACTAATCAAATCACAATTAAAAATAATCTTAACAAAAGGTGGACTTATCTCAAATCCTTCTGGTTTTTACGTACGTTCGTACAAATTTAACGTGACCTGCGCTAAAAGGGATGAAGGGTATAATCATACTCGTTGTAATATGAATGAAACCAAAAAAGGTTTTTAACTATCACAGAAGCATATTTCCAGACCGCATTTCAGAATACTTAAGCAAATTCGTTGAATTGCATGCATTGCGTTATTGACAACGATCAATCGTAAGTGAACCGTCCGCAAGACATCACTTACAGAAATACTCAATGTACTCTGACATTGTCATCTGTCAATGTTGATTAAATTAGTTATTATTTGCTTGTTAGCTTTTTTGTTCTTTTGTCTCAAATTTCATATTCCGAAGCAATGATGACAATGAAAGTGGTTTGCTAATTTATGAAAACCACAATGTAGATATAGACAAAAAAAAAAAGGATGAGGAATTACAAAATAGAGAACATTGAAAGTAAATTATTTATAGATTGTTTTCATATAATAGCCCTTTTTCTTATTCTAATGTTTCAGTAACTTCTTACACTGCGGGACGTGAGTGATCATATCTTTTATATCCATCATCGTTGTAAAAGGGACTAATAGGGACTAAAAGGGACTTAATAAAAAAAGATCTGAGATTTCATAGTTTACAATATCGGATAGCCGCGGTCAATTTTTCCCATATTTCTACAGGAACTACGGACTTGTAGAACCTAGGTTCATTTTTTTTCTTATAGTTGATAAGTAATGAGCCAAAAACCACTTTTTTATTTCTTTTGAAAAACAGAATGTTTTCTCGCTTTACATAGTACTGTAAACATGTGCTTTTTTTTTTCTCCTCTTCTTTCCTTTTTTTTGTCTTTCGTTTTTGCGTTCAATCATCCTCTATTATCATAGCATTCCTTTTTCGTTTTCAGCCAAATTACGCATAATTACACTTAACATGCTGGCTCCAGTTATTACGTCCGCTCTTTTTTTTGTAACGTTTTGTACATAATTGTGACCAAAAATTACGACAGTTTATTATCTGGACATATAAGCCACAAATCTATTGGCTTGGTCCATCTCCATTCAAGACACAAAAAAAAAAAAAAAAAAAAAAAAAAAAAAAAAAAAAA